CGTCCCTAACCCCTTAAAATACAACAGAAAAGGCCCTTTATGTTATTTTATTCAGGCGTAGCCTCGAGAATTCAAGCTTCCTTGTAAAACAAAAATGCGGCGCTGTCTTTAATTTTCTAAAATAACAGCACTGATCCAACGAGCTTCTATCCTGTGTCACTATGACCCAGTCATCCAGTAAAATGACATACCTATTTATATATATCTGCAGCCACATTTCTGCCTTATATTTTGTACGCGGCCCACGTTGTTGGTTTTAGGCGAGTTGAGTTTGATGACTAAAATAAACAAACTAAAAAGTTGACTCGGAACAAACAAGATGTATTATCTACTCCGATACGATCTTGCCATTTATTGCATTCACAGCTGAACAAGCCATCTGTTCTGTCGCATGTTGTAACATCACGAGAGGACGGTATTGTCAATAGGTTGATAGGAAACAAATAGTCAAATGAAACCAGCATCTGTTGCACGTATGACGCAAAACGCTGAAACAATTAACGGGCGTCAAAAAACGTGAGCAACGTTTTGGAGAAAATAACGATTGGTCTCGATAGTAACGAGATAGCGTAGGTAAAGTTGATGTGGACAAAAAAGAGAACACAGGTATACCTGCTCATACAGATAACTCCTGCTCATAGATAAACCTGTACATACAGATACACCTGCTCATACACATACACCTGTCATCATGCAGACACACTGGATGTACACCTTTACACATACAGGTTCAACTCATGTACACACTCGTACATGTACACATACTAGCTCATAAAGTAGGTACACCAGTAGATATACTCACACAGGTGCAACCTTTGATCCAAGCTTATACAGGTACACCTGTACACATGTACATACCTGTATAAAAGGTAGGTGTACACCTAAATACAAACATACAGATACACCTGATACACAAGCTCATACAGGTATGATGGCTTGTACATGGGGAACACCTGTAGACATATGACTACACCTGCATTTAATTATCTAGAATTCAGTCCAAAGTAATAAAGTTGGGTATTTATTTTCACATTGTTGCATAATTTTATCTGGCTTGTGGGCTCATTGAATTAAGTCGGCCCTAGAGGAGAGCCATGCATAGTTGTTACAAAAATCAGAATGAAAAGAAACAATACAAATATTTAACTTGACACTGTTTAATTGACAACTGTAATGGAAAACAACTGTTTCTATATCCCCTCCCCATCATAGCTTTTATTAAGTTAAGAAATGAGTTATAATTATTTTATTGACAGGATTAGGAAAAAAGGAATAATGAGTTTTTAAGTTTTTAATTTTAAAATTGTATTCATCAAACACATCAGATTTTATTTAAAAAAAAAATTACAATTTATTTTCAAAAAAGTTAGTTAAAGCTATAAATACAAGAAGGGATGATGAATCACAGTAGAGAACACTATACAAATCATGAATCAGAAACTGATGAGACTATGGAACAAATAAACATAATGCAGTTCATCCAAGTTTTCAAAGATTAACAGACATGGCACAGAGTGGGACTGGGTGGATGAAAATTTGAACCTGGCATGAAAACATTCACACACAAAATGTGTACGTTTGTACATTTGAATGCGCACACAGCAACAGAGCAGTTGTATTTTGAAGGAAAAAAAAAGGAGATAAGCAAATGTAAAAGCATTGTAACAAATAAAATGAAAAACATTGCACTCAAAAATGTGATTCTAATCACTAAAGTACAATGGTGTTTGAAGACCACACATGATAAACCACAGAAGTCCACTTTTTAAATTTTTTGATTTAGTGCCATATTCATGTGGTTAGGTTGCATATCTATCATGTATAACAATATGAAAGCGTAAAACCACCTCGATCCCTTCAATATTTAGGATTTTAAAATCATTTCGACAATCGAACAAAGGATCTCAAACACAAAATCTCATTTTTCTTAAAAGTAGAAAACTGACAACTGTGGTTTATCCCCTGTGGTCTTCAGTTGATACATAACAACAGAGTATTAACAACAACATCTTCATTTTAAAGTAAACCAAAATTTGTATTTATGCAAGCAACAGGGTTTATTTAACAAGGCAGGGAAAAGCTAGTTTAAAAAAAAAGATTATGGTACAAAGCAGTCTATCAGTTTAAATAAGAACCAGTAGAATACTTTTACAACTGTAATGGTCAATATAGCAGATAGACGATATTTACTCACTTGCATGGTACAAATCAGAGTTGAATAGACAAGGGACTGTAGAGTTGCTTGAATAATAAGTTTAAAACAGAAGAAAATGGGATTGCTCACAGACACAAACTTGTAGAATAACTCTAAATCATTGATGTACAGAGACGACTTCATGTCTTTTCATACAAAACTGTTGAGTTGTTTTCAGAATGGGCTGCAGTGGTTGTGAGGTAGCCAGAAAAATTTTTCTAGTCACAATGTTTGTGATAATGTCTTTTATGCTAACCAGCATTGAAAAGTATCTTACGTGACTTGGAGTTGAAAGGTACCTTATATGAGTTGGAGAAAACAAATTTTCTGGTTTTGCTGTAAAAACAGAGAAATGTTTTAATCTGCCATATAGACCAAGAAGTCACTATTTGTTAAATTTACATACTTTATAAACTGAAGACGTGGGAAGCTTTGTAATGACAGCAATGTTGTGATTGCATGTGGTCTTTTAGCAAAACAAAATGTCCTTTTTAATGAGGGTAGAAATCTTGAGTGAGACAAATAAAAAATAGCTAACATCAATTTTAAAAGTGAGTTCTTACAACCATTATCTGTTATAAAAATACCAAATTTAAACAGAAAATAACTTTGAATATTTTAAACAAGAACATATAAAGTTAGTTTTTTTAATATAAATTAAAACATAAACTCTGTTAAAACATTTTAGAAACAAAGCCACCCAAAAAAAATTACTTCCAATATTTTAGAAGTATACTAAAATTATCCTAGCTTTTCGAAATAAAAATAAAAATTCACCAGCTCTAAAGAATACTGCACTATCAGTCAATAAATTATAATAAATGAAAAATACTGGCAAGGAACTAAAACATATATAATTTAAATCTGACATTTCAAGCCAATGGACAGACTACCCAATAAAAAAAAAAAAACAAAAAAAAAACACAAACAGTGATCAACGTTACATGAAATAACAAGAAATACCAAAGTAAAATTTACATATTTTTTTTTAAACACAGACTTGACTGGAATGTTTAATTATGTAATAAAAATATTACTGGAATAAAAAAATATATAATATATCGGACACAAATATAACCAATTAATTCAGGATTATTTCCCCTTAAGTTTGTCTTGGTTATCCTTTGTTTGCAAACTGATTTAGAAATCTCTGTCACATGGAAAATAGCATTAGAAAAAAATATGGCATACTGGAAGGTAAAACTTTTATAAGCACCCACACAAATATGTGTTCTATTAAAAAGATAAAATTTGAGATATTTGATAAAGAGATAATTGATTGTTGTATATCATTACACTAAGATATTCGTTGGTAAGGAATATAAGGAAAAATGCAAAGTTACAATTAAAGTAGCTATTATTTACATTTATTTAGTAATGTGCCTTTTTCCTCTGCATAATGAAAACCAGTTAATAATTTCTAGATATTAATAACATTTTAAAAAAAACATGGTGAAGAAATGATTAGATGACTATAGTACAAGAAAACGTCACATTAATGACAATTAAATTATAGTCCCAATGAAAAAAGTCTTTTTAATTATAAATAACTAGGTAGTAAAAAATTAAATGTCATAAAAAATTATCATATACACACCTCAAAACGTGGCAGAATCCAAATATTGGACACAAGCAAGGGATTTAGAAATATTGAATATTACACATATGGCCATGTTAATTGCATTCAAACAGATATTTACAAGTAATAATAAACAAACAAAATGTAACCCTTTTTATTCCATATCTTTTTCTTTATTTTTTTACCTACAGCTTATGTAAAATGTACTGATAGGTTATTGCACTACGAAACATAAAGGGTTAAGATTATTTAATGTAGTTTTTATTTTTATTTTTTTGGTTTTTGTAACATATGGGCTGGTTAATATAGGGTATTTTTTCTAATGTCCCAATTATAATTAAGGATAAGTTTGGGTTAATGCTTAGGATGCTAATACTAATTACTAGTAATCAAATTTTTTAAAAGTTGTGATTTAAAAAAAAAAATCTAAAAATCAGCTATTATGAAATTGAATTCTGGAATGTTTCTCTTAGTGTATGACCAAATAATAAACATTTAATAGTGAGCAACTGGTATGTAAAATATCACATTTAAGCAGGAATAATATTATGGATACAGGAATAAACAAATCTGATAAAGACAACTGCCACCAGAAACAACACAGAATCAGCTATGTAAAAAATATTATGACAAATATGTTCAATGACCTATCAGCCTGTGACATGATTGTGACAATATCATATTCAAAATTCTGTATTTGGTTGAAATCATGTTTTATATTTAAGAATATGTGAACCAAGTTTTCTTACATTGTATTATTTCTCAACCATGATTTATTTAATGTTTTGAATAGTAAACTAACAAAAAAACCTACAGTTAAACAACCATCAAATCTACTGAAGCCTTGTACGAGAATTATTATGACCCTCAATTCTAGTTTAAATTAGGAGACTGTGAAAGGAACTATGGGATCACTATACAATCATTGTTCTAGTTGATACTGCTGCTACCAGGTTATTTCTATACTGTATCTTAAGGATTACTCACTGCAGCTTACAACTGTATACAATATTAATTTCTTCTACAGAAAAATCAGATTAAAAAAAAAGAATTAAGCTACTTCAATCAAATAAAAATTATGGCACAGTGAAACAAAAAAAAAGCATATTTGAGTATTTAGAATAAAAAAAAATTTAACGTGAAAAAAAAAATTCAGTTAGACAAATGACGAAAAGTAAACACTTAACTAGGAACTGAACAGATAAATAAATGGATTATCAATTCTTATCCTTAAGATAAAATATTATTTTTTGAAGGTAAGGAAGAGCTTACAAATAAACAAACAATGTTAATGTACAGTAATAAAAAATTGTACACAGTAAAAATAACCTCTGAAGCTATAATTTTTTCCAGAAGTTACAGCGATATAGTGATTGAATGTTACATGGGAAAATATGCATGACAAAATATTAGGGCACTTAACTCTGGTAGTACAAAATGGTTTTCCACCAATCATTCATGTTTTGTTGCCATTTTAAAAAAAATATCACAACCCTTTGAAGGATTGAGAAACACAATTCACAAGAATTGGGGACCAAAAGACATGTTTGATAGAGTACACTGACAAATATAAACAAAAGGATAATTGCCATAATACTCAATCTTCAATTACAAAATTTACAGCAAACCTGATATTGCAACGGTGTTTTACATTTTTTAAAGAGGGTAAAAAATTCTGATTGCTATGATATGTTTTACAATGCCTTTTATATAATAGTACATAAGCAAACACTTCCTGGAAATACTGCAGGGAAAAGATAGGGTGGTCAGCTTAAAATTTGTCTAACGTGATTGAAATTAACAGATTTTGTATCAGCATGTGTTGTAGAAATGTCTGTTTCCAACTAGTGATTATTTCTCAGTTTTCTGGTTTGTTTTGTTTGTCTTGTGTGTATTCAACGATTTAAATTAATGCAATATTGCTTTTACTGGCACTTTAATAAAAAAAATGAGTAAAATTTCCATACCAAATGATGGGGTTGCAGTTCAGCTTGTGAACAAGTATATGTGGTACTTTTAAAGCCAGCTTTTAAAATAAAAGCATTCATTAGAAAAATATAAATGAAAAATGATAAACTGTGTGATCTGTGGTTTCTTTAAACAAAATGATTCCGTTGCATAATTAATACAATTTAATGTTTTTACTGCATAGCCAGTACCCTTACCATTATTTTATGCATAAGTGAATATTAAAGTTATATAAAATATCACAAGAATTAAGAAAGAAAACAAATAATATCTAGACATTACAAACTTAAATAAATTAACAATAGCTAAACTTTTACAATTAAAAAAGTCTAAAAATAAAATAAATATCTGTTGAACCAAAAAACAACAACCTGGAGTCTAACATTTAAAACAATGTCCAACCTACCCAGGTGACTCAGCTACTACCATCTGTTTCAGGTAAATAATCATCGTCGTCGTTCATCACATCCATCAAATCATCATCCAAAACCAACCTGTACATACTGTCAAACATCTTCTTACGTTGTAGTGTACTGGCCTCATCCTCTTGTGTTTCACGCAACACATCAGCATCATCCAGGCTCTCCCTGGCCTCATCCTCCTCCTCCCCTGCACCTGCATCACCTATTCTGTCCGCCGGTTTACACAATGACAAATCCACACTCTCATTTACATTACTAGCACTTGCAGTTAAGTTCCCCGCCTGATCACCCCCCACGGGACTTGCCACCTGCTCAACACCTGCAAGTCTATCCACAGACTCGGACTCTGGTACTTTGCTGATGTCAACTCCTGAGTCAAAGCTTGCTGAGCAAGGTATTACATCCTCTCTCACCTGAGTCTTTCCAGCCTGGCTATAATCCTCTAAAATCACAGGCGGTGCCGGAATATCTGGGATAATGACCCAGTTCTTATCCTGGGCTTCGTCATCAGAACTAGAGAGGTCAACAGTGCTGGGTCCCTGACCTGGCTTGTGCGCTGGGGACACCGCGTTAGACGAGGGGAGTGAGGACTGAAGCAGCTCATCTCTAGTTTGAACTCCCACTGCCTTCATGATGATGTCCAGCTGTTTTCTGTAATCTAAATGACCACTCACCTGTAGAAAGACACAATGTTATATATAAAAACTGACTAATTTTGTTCCATGTTATTTTAAAACAATAAACACTAACAAATTTGGTCACAAATAAAAACAATAAACACAAATTTTGTTCTAACTTAAAAAAAATCCATAAAAATAGACAAATTTTGTTCCATGTTACTTAAAAACAATAAACACTAAAAAATTTGGTCAGAGTTAGATTAAAAACAATAAACACAAATTTTGTTCCAAGACAAAAAAACAATAAAAACAGAGAAATTCAGTTCCATGTTATGTATAAACAATATAAAGACTGACAAATTTTGTATCATGTTATATATAAACAATAAACACTGACAAATTTTGTTCTATTCAGCTTAAACTCATAATTTAAGATTATTTTCCATTTCCCCCATTACACGATTCAACCAGTTTTTAAAAAGTTAGATTGCAGACCAGTTCCAGATATTGTTTTTGGTACCTTTAAACCAACTGAATCAAGCAACTATCTAACACTAGTAAATCTTTAAAACAGTTTAACAACACAGGGATGTAACAGCCTAAACAAAAATAGAAGCTTTAAAGAAGGATGAAAACAGTATCTTCCAGCACCATGGTTCTTACTTCCAGCCTGACTGGTTTATGAACACAGCTCAAATCTGTCGAGCCTTTTTCAAATAGTAACCTGACAACCTTGAAGGTTTAATGTCACCCTGACTTACCACATCACTTAGATCGATGTTGTGCATGCGACGATCTACCCATTTGATAGGCCGCAGCCCAGCGATACTAAGTTGTATAGATGACGTCCTGTACAGGAACTTTAGTAGCCAGTCTCCCCTTTAGAAGTAAAGAGAAGGAATAGCTATCTTAATCTATCTATTTAAATAACAAAATCTATTTAATATTATATCCTCATATTGCTGAACTTAGCTTGACAATCAACAAATATTTCTCACTAAACTTGACTAAACCAAGACAGAATAACTGTGTTTTAGTTAAAAAATAAGAAGTAAAAATTTACCGGCAGTAGCCATTGACAATTTTTCCTGCGACAACTTTAGCAAAATTGGCCCAGACTTTAGGGTCACCTGTAGCTGGTGTACCCAGGAGAATAACGTCCTCCACAATACCTTCACTACCTGTAACAATAGATTCATTTGTTTTAGTCAGAACTTAATTCAGCAAAACCTAAAGGTATTTTACACTGGAAAAGTTAATGTACATTTTTTTTTTAAAACCAAAGTAAGCTGGTGAGAATAACGTAAAATGTATTATTTAGTACTAGTACTAAACTGTATACATAAAAGTCTAAATAAATTTAAGATGAGTTATTTACACAGGTACATCTATTTCATTTAATTGAAGATAATTAATACGATATTACCTTTTCTTTTAACAAGCTCCTCAAGGCAGGAGAAAATAACTCTTGCACCAAGACTAAATCCAATTAGAGTAACTGGCCTATTACCCTAAGGAGATGATTTGAACAATAAAGTGATACTATATGTTATTGATAACACTTTGATTATCTAACACAATTTCAAGTTTAAATGTAAAAAATTGAATGAAATAAAAATGAAAGCTGTACCTGTTGTCTGGCTAGTAAAACCTCAGCCAGCTCTTTGCCTGCTGTCTGAGATCTCTGTAAAGCTACTGACCACGGGTTGTCAATCAAGTTTGCTACAGAGAGTAATGCTGACGGCCACGCTACAGCTGCCAAAAGACCTGTCAATGCAAACATCTAATTAAGTCCCACACACGTTTTAAAAAGATGGCAAATGTACAGAGGTAAAATTCATTATAAGGGATTATGAATAATAAAACTTCGCCTAAATTAATCAACCAGGGCATCTTGTAGGTCCCACGCCTGGATAAAGAAGAAAGGTTGGGCATAGGACTGATAAATATAAATGGTAGCTGCAGTGAGGTTAATTCAATTAGTAATAAAACAGATAGTGTTAGTTAACTAACAAGTTAAAGACAGTTACAAATACTATAGGACTGGCAACTTTACTCTTTAAAACAACAACCTGCTACAGGAAATGCAAAGCCTATGCCCCAAAAAGGGTCCAGAAGAATGATGATAATGAATAAAATACATTGAAGTCAAATTAACCACGATTTATTTCCAACTGTAAGCAAAATATCTACAATATCTACACACAGAATTAAACACTTTACAAGTAACTCAATGAAGTGGGAAGAGAAAAAAAGCCAGAACAAATAAGGAGTAACCAGTTAATAAAAAGAAAAAAAACAGACATTGTAAACACATGCCACAGAAAAGTACTTGATATCCCTGGCCCAACACCACTACCATTGAAGTACTGTAAGGGCTCAAAAACTTAAGTCTTACTCAAGAAAAATCCCTTTTCTGCCACAAGCATAGCAAGACAGGAATTTATATTGAGTAAAACAAAAGCTAACCTTCCAGAACAGTGTATTTAAGAGCTTCCTGAGTTGCCATTGTCATGGCAGAGTTGAATATATAGTCCATAGCTTCCCCCATCTGTACCAAGTACTTTGTCTCCCACTTTAGAGCATATTGTTCTCTTGATTCTGCCAAGTTCCTCCATGGCTGTCTAAAATCTGGGAAAAAGATTTTATACTGCTAGATAAAACTATTGTTTACACTACATCTATACTTAACAATTTTACTTCATACTTTCCTGAATTATATGTATCTTATGTGAGATAACATTCTACAATGATATATATTACAGGATATGCAAATGGCCTTTCACAATTGTTTGAAAAAAAAACTATAAAACTATTTTATCCAATCAAACTGTATATTAAGAACTTTATAATAACAAGTTTTAAAATGCAACATATAGCTAAAGAAAATTAGTTATTGTTTATATATTTTATGTAGTTTTTTATTCTCTACTTTTTAGTATTCCTTCTTCATTGCCTTAAGCACTTCCAGTGGAGCATAGGCCATTTTCAACATCCTTCCATGCTTTTTTTAGCATTTAGAATAAGTAAAAATAAAAGAAATAGAAATGAAAAGTTACAGCAGATTCCCACAAATATAATTCACTCAACAATAAAATAATCTCCCTTTTTAAAGGGTAGAACATTCATTTTTTTAAAAACCTTAGAGCAAATCTAATAATGTGAAAAATTATAGAATATTTTGTCATAGAAACTTGACCTGTTTCTTTCAAGTTTGAAACAAATTGACTTATTAATAGAAGTGAGTGAAAAATAAATTACTCCACTCACACATGACCACAGACAGACAGGTGTTAACAGCTTGAAATACAGGTGAGAAAAGAACCAACCTCTAAACTCATTGGTGAGCCACCCTGTCACTGCCACTGTGATGTGCAGCTGGTTAGACAGAGTGTCTGCCCTTAGACTGTTGCCACAAACAAGAGGCTCAAATTCAAATTCTTCAATAGCGCCAACCCTTTTCTTCATTTTGTAACCTGTTTATTAAGAACACGTAAGTGTATACAACATTATTTAAGAAAAATACTATTTGGTTTTTTAAAACTTCTTTTTTTTAAAAGAAATATTTTTAACTAAAAAAAAAATGCAGTAAAAACAAAATATAAGAACCACCTGTCAATATTGTTAACTTACTACAGTACGTTGTATATTAAAAACTACCTGTTAATCCAGCCCCAGCAACACCAAACAATGACCCAATGATGGCGACCCCTGCAGTAGACCCCAACACTGCTGCACCTGCTCCTCCAATGATTGCACCTGCACCAGCTGCAACTAGTGGAGCTGCCAGACCACCGGTCAGTCCTATGGAAAAATAAGGTGTTTTAATAACATCATAAATAAAGTTATCCTTTTGAAAGTGAAATTAATATAAAACATATTTTAACAGCTAGTTGACATTCAGTTTACACAACACACAAAAAATGTTTCCCCCCAGAAAATAGTTCCTACCTATAAGTGTGCCTCCTCCCAAAGTTGCTAAACCTATCAAAGCAAAACGCTTAATTTTTCTTCGCTTTGCTTTCTTTTTCTTTTCCAGCTTTTCTTCCCTGAAAGAAATAAACAAATTAAAAACTAACATTTATTTATGAAGCTAACTATACATATGTATTCTTCAGGGGAAAAAGTATTGTGGACAATACAAAATATCACTTTTTATTTAATTTTACACAATTTAATCAAAATATACTGGGCTTAGAAAACCACACTACTTTTTTAACACACAGTTCATTAACTTCTAAAGTTAAATCCCTAATATGTGGTTTTATTAAGATAGAATTGTAATACTAAACAAACTGCATCTCTGAAACTACTCAAAGATAACAATAACAAGAAGTTATAAATTTTAAAGATATAACATCTATAAACATGAAAAGTAAAAGTAAAATAAAAATGAGAAACATACATAGGAGGTAAATTAAAAATGGCTTGTTAAATATAAAATAGTTTTAAAATATCTGTGTTTACATTTTACAAAACTAGATCTAGAATTTTCTTTAAAATTCTGAAAGTTTTAGGTGAGAAAATCTGCTGGCTACTTTTTGACAAATATCCAACACATCATGCAAAAATGAAAAAAAATTCTTAAAATAGTTGTAGTTTGTCCATGAAATTTAAGGTATTTTAAAGTTTAGTGAATGGCTTTATAGTTTTTAACACCACTAAATAATTCATTTAGTAACCTATTAAAAGCACATCAAATCACTCCCTCAATAAAACAAATAAGAGAAAAAAAGCAGGGCCTTTTCCTACATCTATAAATAACATTAACTTACGAATTTTCTACTTCATTCTCATCACTGAAATAATGAATTAAAGACAGAAGATAATGACTTATCTTAAACTGAATTAATCAACCAAAAAAGTTATAATTGCAATTAATTTATTAATTTTGATAATATTCTATTGAATGAAAAACTTTAGAAAAAGGGAACATTTAAAAAATGTATGAAGTAGTTTTAAAACATAGTTTTGAGGTCATTTTTCAAGAAATTTGAAAATAAAAGTTATCAAAATGAAGTAAAGTAGAATGACAATATTGATGGTATCAACAGCAAGAAAGAAAGCATATACCTTTCCCCTCTGGATGCAAGTAAAAAAATAAAAAAAAATAATTTTATACCCTTTTCAACAAATTTTAAAATAGTAGCATTCATGCTGTAGGACGAGTTCTTAAATTTTAAAAAATTGTATGCAAAGAGAGCCTTTTCATTTAATTATATTTATAATTTTTATTAGGATGTTACGTTATTGTGTTAATTTTTTTTAAAGTAAAATATTTTTTTGATCAACAAACACATTTTGGTTTGATTTGCAAAACCATATTAAGATAACTTACATACAAGTTATAATATAGTAATGTACCAGAGAACGAAATCAATTTAAAAGGAAGACATCGCTTTAACTTACATCCAACATTTAGCTAAGGATCTGAACGTATGGAAATAATGCCTTTTTTTAAAAAATTATAAAATCAATAAATCAACTTACTCAGACATTTCATAATCAGATAATGCCAAAGTCTCAGATATGCCAGCCTCTAGGTCATTCACAGTGTCCCAACTTACTTTCAAACGCCAAGCCAAATGTTTTATAAACACTCGCATGCGTGCATCATAACATCCTAATAAAATACAAATTACATTGAAAACTATTTACCATACAGCTTTTTTAAATACTTGAAACCCAACATTTTATAACCTGACACATATCCTAGAATCTACAACACAGCTATATTTATACCTAAAACAAAACATGGTCAATCAAAAACTTAAAAATGAATTCTATAAAAAGAAATAGATATGTTAATAAATGCATTATGATATAATCTAGATCAGCTGTTTCCAGTTTTATGCTACTGTGCCTCCCATGAAAAAAACAAAAAACTACTTGGCGATTCTCTAAAAAACAAACAAATCTTGGCGCCTCCTCAACTCCATTTTATCCTATAAAATATACTTTTTACCCACTTTAAATGGGCAAAACCTCAGTGGTTGCAAAACTTTAATTAAACATGAGATGATGGGACTGCAGATAGATTGCAAACATTTTAAACTAAATTTACAGACAAAATATTTATTATGATAAGAGTATTTACTCACTTATTGCTGCATAGGGCTATTTTTTTTGTTTCTTATAGATTGTACATTTCTGTTAAATTTTTCATAACACCCCCCAGAATTAGTCCAAAGCTCTATAAGTTTAGAAACTGCTGATCTAGACAACATGCAGTAACTGTTCAGAGCATGCCTATTATGCAATTCTGAATACATCCTTTTAAAAGTTTCCAGCAAGACAAAATGATTCACATAGCACAAGGGCACAGAGAATTCTGTTGAGGTTGGATAAAGAACATCTCCCAGCATGGTATTATGGGAAATGGGATTATTAGAACACGCTCACCTTGACCAATGCCAATGGCCAGCAACTGAGAAATGATTGCCTCAGCTCCAGATTTCAAGACATCCTCAGCGAGTAGTATGTCAATGTAGGGATCCATTTCATCAAGGCCTTGACCTTGAAGCATCGCCCGCACTGACTCACAAACCTGAAGAAATTATTTTTACAATTTATGTTACTATTTAGTGCATTTTAAAAGCATATCATACATCTAGCTGTATTGTGGTTAAATTTTTTTTTTTATGATTACAAAATAATTGTATTACTTTTTACTTAACAAAATTTATATAATTGTTCTTACGAATATCTTGTTGGTTATCTTCTTACCAGTAATTAAAACTGTTGTATTTACCAGCCTTGTTCTAATTTAAGTATTAAAGTTTAATGATTTTTCTTTTTAGCCCCCTTATTTTTATAATATATTTCAATCAACACAATGACTGCTGGAAACAAACTTAATGGGCCACAGGCTCTAAATACAACAAAATACCTGCCCTACCTGCTGAGGCTGTTCAAGTGCAATCAGAATCAAAGCAAATGTTTCTTCTCGAAATTTACTGAAAAAGAAAATGTTAGTATTTACTTTAATATGAATTAACAGCAATCGAAACTAAAAGTTTTATAAAATTAGGTAGTCCAAACTGGCGAAAAAGTGCGTTTTAGGGTCAGTTTTTGCGGTTTTCAAAAAAAAAATTTCACTACTTCTAGTTGTCCTATAAGAGTAAAAATTATATGTCAATAAAGTTTAAGTCTTTATCTGTCGTAATCTGGTATTTTTATATCTGTAACACATGTCTGAATGTGTTTTATATTTGTTTGAAAAGTATCAGTTACGTCAACAAATTTCACCGTTTTGCGTGTACCGATCGACCCCACACTGTTTTATTTGGTCGCGGCTTCGCGACGAAGCATCGTAGAAGCATAATCTTAATGTCATTTTAAAGATCGAATTCTAGGCTATCGTTTGATGTATAAATTGAAAAAATAACTTGTTTATTTCATTTAAAAAATACAGATTTTAAACTTTAAATGACGATATATACACGGAAACAAACTAATTCTGTTTCAATTTTTACACCGATGTAAAGTTCAGTTTTATAACTACTTTGTGTTGTAAATTCAAGTATTTCTGATTTACGGTCGCGAAGCCGTACCCCCAATAAACATATAACCCTCGAGTCGACTTTCAGCCCCAAGTAAGTTGCTCGCCGAACGGTTTTAAAGGTTGACGACCGATGATGCTAAACGGATTTTACCCTTGCTAGAGCCTTCAAACAAGTTGTAAGTATCATTTTTAAAGTTTCATTTCCATTTTAATAAATGAATTTTAAGTTTGAATGTCAGTTTGGTTTAATTAGTACACGTTATTAATGTAAATTTGAACGCTTCAAGTCCACGGTTTTAGCGTGTGAACTACGCTTGTACACAGGGTGTGTTTAGACGTGAAGCTATTTAATTCAGGACATTCTAGGGACTTAAAATATGGATGCACTTAACTATTAGATGCTAGTGTTTACTAATTCTTTAAAATCTATTGACTGGGATCAATGATAGGGTCGTATTACTACAGTTTATCTGGACTATCACGTCAAAACTATGAATCGACAAATTCAAAATGGCCACCAGACTATCCTGGTTACTATGTGGACGAACTCAATTATTTACAGGGAACGAAGGCTAAATACTTATAAAATATTAATGAAACACAAAAGAAATGTATAATTATAATAACTATACATTTTTATCGATTTATTTAAAACAAAAGACACTAAATTTTAAGGACTAATGTGATTAATTTTTTTTATTTTCTGTTGTGTGCTCTGATTCTGATTCCCCTGCTAAATAATGTGAAATGGTCTGCGCCAGTCTCCGTAATAAAATGTACCAGATCAATTTTTAGATGGTGGTGCAATTTATTAAGATGCTACATGTTGTGACTTAGTTTTAAATGTTATATTAGTTGTAAGTGTAAGTAGTACTAGTAGTATTTCTCATTATTTATTTATTTTATATGCATATAATAGTAACAATGAAGGACAGTTAAGTTGTCCTATAGGATGTTGAGAACCACAGTATGGCATCTTCATTATTGGATATCTCAACCAGTGTGGCACAAGCAACGAATATTTCAAATTTCATTCAGTAGAATTACTCTTAAAAATATATATAAAGTATAAATTACTTTTAACAAAAAGGTGTTTTCAGGCTTTTTCATATGTTTCCAGTTATAGTCATAGGACAAATAGTAGGCCTACACAATAGGCTGGTAGTAAATTTAATTCTATTTTATTAATCACTAAATCAATTGTTTATTCCATAGCTGGAGACATTTACAGTGGCCTATCCAGAACTTTCCTTACAAGGGAAGGGAAGAAGGCCAAGACCCCACTCCCCCCTACAATTCCCAAAACATATTACTTACTCTTGATGCTCCACAAGATCAAGGTTGAGGGAAACAAGACGTACAAAGATGTGGAGTTGTAGTTTTAAAAACTGTTCCCCCAAAGCAGTTATCAACCGTATAGGTTTGAAAAGAAACCAAAGCATGTGGCATCAACTGCTGCATCACTTGTAGGCATCACGTCTTTATTAAACTACATTACATTACATTTACTCTACTAAATTTTGATTCTGTTTCTCCTGCACTAGATAACTGTGGTATTTTTTAAAATAATATTTTAACTCATGTGATTTTTGAAAATAATTAACACATTTTTCCACGTTGATGTTACCAACACAATAGTTTTAGAGTTATTCCAAAGCAAAAAAAAAAAAAAAAAAAATGATTTTTTTTTTTTAATGAAAATAAAAGTGACCAAAACGCATTTTTGTCATTTTCAATTATTTTTTTTACCTTAGAAAGACTCATTTTAGATGACTGAAAAAAATTGGGCATATATATTACAAACTTTGCAGCAACTGTACCAATTTCTACACTTCTATGTTATTTAGTTTAAAAAATATGGGTTCTCAAAAATGGCACTTTTTGAAAATCAGTTTTTTACCAAATTTTGCTTTTTTAAAAATCGCATAACTTTTTTATTTATTGAGATATTTTTATAAAATTTGTGGCATAGACCTTACAATTAAAAGTTCTTTCATGACATACTCACTCCAGAAGTCTGCAATCAATAGTTAATTTCAGTTTGGACTACCTAATAAAATATTCAAATGAAGATAAATTAAAAACTTGATATTTATATATTGTACACTACACACCCATCCTGATCTGTTTCAAACAGGGAGTGCAAAGCTGTTGCACACAAGGCTGCATAGGAGAATTGGGCAACATCACTGATCTGTTTGTGTATAGGAATAATATTTTCTGGAAAAATAAAGACATTTAGACCTGTAATAAATATTTTAAGCAATTAAAATAATTTTAAAAATACTTTTTTCATAACTAACAGTTTTTTAAAAATTTCATCAAAATGCCAAACATTTGTCAACCCCTGATGACCCGCCCAAAGCGTAACTGCTCGACCACAAGGTACAGATAGTTTTGTCAAATAAATAAAGCTAAAAAAGAGTAATTGATCCCATTGTGCAGCTATAAAAGAATAAATTGAGTCCATTGCACAGCTATTAATTATTAATAGTATTAAATCTGAGCCCTTTGTGCACATATTTATTTATTAGGTCATTGCGTTTCGCTTCTTTTGTCAGCCATATAGATCTAGTGCTTAGTGGGAAAAGCTTTTTCCCGAGCAGTTGCTTATGTTAACTAACTTTACTATTTACTTACTACTACTACTTTTATTAAGTTAATTAATACTTTTAATTAATAGATCTAAAGTAGTTTAGTTAGCTTTTAGTCTGTGATGAGTCATACTCATAATCATTATCATATCATCATGGGAGTCAAGTCTCAGTTAACTCAGTTGTTTTGTTGTGTAAAACTAGATCTAGTATCAGTTGTTGATCTAGCTAGTCAGTAGAGTAAACGAGTTGGTCCCACTGAAACACTTGAGACTGAGTGAAGAAGAGAGTTGAGTAGTTAACTCATTAACTGTAGTAAACTGTAGTTGAGTCGAGTGAGTGAGTGAGTGGAAGTGGACGACGGATATGCCTAGATTCTAGTTTTAAAATACTGCAACAGTAATCGATATTTGTTACAACGTTTCCTGGGTAAATACCGTACCCTTTACGAATTCGTTTGTTTGAGGCTGCTCATCTTTTTTAACGTTGTTAACATTTGTATTTTTATGTGGTAAGCTACCGATTTCTGTTTCATTATTACTTTCTGCCATATTTGTTTGCAGCTATTCTTATTTACTTCCGGTGGCATAGACCAATGGGTTATCAGAAAAAAATGTAGTGCATCGGAAGCCTTTCTAGGTTTCATTTCAGTGGGTAACTTCATGACGTAACATCCGTGTTAATTTCCCAATCTTACTGCAATGTTATAAACTTCGTCAGGGCCTAGTTAACCTGTTACAGACTCTGCTAGACTGGACTGCCGAGGAGTAGGGTATGTTACTTAGACGTAGAATCTAGATCTATTACAATCTACATCTAGATCTAGTACTTATTCTTCTTCTAGAGTTAGATCTAGACTAGATCTAGATCTAGTTTAATAAAAATAAAAAATCATTCAGGTTAAAAAAAGCCACTTTTTAATTATTTTTATGCCCTATTCAATGCCCTATTCGTTTATAATAGTTTATATTATAATTTTAATTTATTTATTCATTTTATAATAGGCCTAATTATTAATTGTATTGCCTTTTTTAAATAGATTCAACCAAAGACTGTGTTATTGACTAAACTACTTATTCCTGGAACATTGAATTTGGAATAAATTTTGTTAAGATTTTTACTGAAGTTCTAATGCTAGAACTCAAGATCTTAGAATTAGATGTTCAAATTTTAATGAAAGTTCAAAGTTGAGGTAGGAAAAACATCTACTATCTAGCTAGACTCTCTAATAAATATAGATCTAGGGCCTAATATAATAAATAAATAGGCCTAATTTAGTAATTGGCCTACTATTAATAATTAATAGTAGGCTAATAATAGTAGGGCCAAATAGGCAATAGGCCTAATATTTAATTTTATATAGGCCTAAATGTAGGCTCCTACTAAACTAATAATATTATTATAATACCCTAACTAATTAGTAGGCACTAGTACTTTAATATTATTTAATATTAAAAAAAAGGTATGCTTAACAAAAAAAGTTTGATTTGGGCACCCTAAACTATCTTTTCTATGCAGCATGCATGATGTTAAGTGTAGGCTTATCACTCAGTAGGATCATACAACTTAAATAGGCTCTATATTAATGAACTATAGTAATAGTATAGGTTACACTATTTTCAAGTTTGGTATTTAAAAAAAAAATGTTTGTAATTCCACAATAGAAATGGTATTGAGATCAGTCTTTTTTTCAGTGATGTGGCCAGGTAAGGAAATGGTTGTGGGGGAGGGGGTTACAACTAACTTCTCCTTAGCCATAAAGTGACAATGAGAGCACAGGTGACACTAGCTATAGTAACAAGGGACACATTTTGTGGTCCATTTGAAGAATGCCATCCTCCTCATTACACCCACCTTCTTCTTGTTTTGGATAATCTTTGTGGTATGAGCCACAGTACAACTTCAGTATTGTCTCATTCCAGGGGTGTGCCTGTGCCAAATATAAATCTGCAGGATTAGATTTATATATTAACAATATCATTAGGGCAGTTTTCTCCAACACTGGGCACTTAGTTTAAACTTATGGGAGATGGGACGGACACTGGTTTAAGTTGAATTATATATTTTACTGTTAATAGATCTAAGTGGGGTGGGGGTGGATGTGCACTATGCAAAGATGTCTGAAAAAAACACTGTGTTTTCATTCATAAATTATTCATAATACATATGTTGTACATTTACTTACAGTACATTTTCTTACAAACTCTCAGGGCCTTCAAAATTTAATAAGTATGGTTGTTTATTTCCTTCAACAAACAATTTAATTATGATGTGTTTTCTATCACCTTTTATAAAAATACCTCACAGTTAAAGAATATTGTAGGCTACAAGTATTTGGCGCTGGAATAAATTTGAAAAGGAATGCACTTCAAGTGTTTTGTATGTATAGTGAAGAGCATAAGCAAAAGAATGGTTGAGTGGGTATTTAGGTCTTGTGGTAGAAGTCCATTCACAGCTCTATTCAAATATATCCTAGGGTAATGGTTATTTGAAATTTTGCTTTTATTAGTAACAGTGTGTGCTGCCAAATATTTAGGCCCCAATGAAACATGCTTACAGAAGCTATATAGGCTCTGTGTGTTGCATAGTTTGTTGAATAATCCTGAAGTGTGGTTGCATTCATTCATGCACCTGTGGCTTATTAAATTCAATGCACATAATAAGTTATATGGTAAGCATACAATTACTGGTTGTAAATGTATTTTTTTATACTGAGTGCAGAGTTTGACAGCTAATGTTTTTTTTTAATCTTAGTTGTGCTTCAGCTTTATAATTAGCATGCATTTGAATATTATTAGTTTTTTGTTTTGTCAAAAGTTTAAGATGTCTTTTTAGAGTAGCTTGCAATTTCTGGTATCTGTGTGTGTGTGTGCATTCCTTCTGTGAATTTTTTCTAATTCAACTACCTTTTGAATATTTATGAGCGTTGAAGTGCTTTACAAGTAGTAAGGTAGGTTGGATAAGGGTGTTCAGAAGAGTAGACTTTATATCAGTTCATTTATTTTTAAACGGTCTGTTCCCCCTGATAACTTCAGTGCAAACAAGTAAGTAGCTGTAGGCTACAGTATGTTCTATCATCGTTCAGCATTCTGTATCAGGAGCTAGTTACATTTAGTTGGCTGTGGAATGTGGCCAGACCAGAGTAAACCTGGGGTGAATTTTTCTTGACTTGATTATAACCTCTAATGCAGAGTTGTTTTCTTTTTTCACACAAACATCTTATCTGGGTGTTTGCTTTTATTTCTAAAATAACTTTCTATACGCATGTAATCTTGCAGTGTCAGTCCTGTTGGTTTCATATCATAAAAGCTGTGGGCGTATGTGGATTTATGGTTAGAAAAAAATATATTTATGTTAACCTTGTTTTTAAAAATGGATTATTATAGGTGTAAGTTGACAGTGTAAAACTCTTTGCCTTACTATCAATATTGTGATTACTTACTATTCAAATTGTGTGTTATTAGTTAGGGTGTCTTTCAACAACTTCTCACCCCACCAACACCTTCTACCCCTACCAACACCCTCTACCCCCAATTAACTTACAGAATATCTAACAGAATTTTTAATGCTACACAATTGTATTATTATTGTTTTCTCTCTAAATGTGTTTACTTAGAGAATGACGTATACATAAAAATATTGCTGATTTGTTGTGAACGTGTATGTTGCAAAATGCAATTTGAGTGGTGATTTAGGGCAAAAATCTATCACAACTGCAGGCTGTACCCTCAGATATTGTATGTTCGGAATCATCAATAAAGGCTGCAAGTAATATAATGTAAATATTGATCGAGCACAACAAAGCATAGGGTTTTATTGTAGTGGTGCGTGCATGGATACATAAGGATTTAATACAAGCTTCTAATGTCCCCTGTCTTAGACGCTTAGTCATAACTCTGAAATTTTTACCCACCCATCGCTCGAGGTTATAAATTTGGGACACAATGTGCTGCTTATGAAACCTGTGTGGGGAGAGCTGTAAATGTTAGCGCTCTTGTGTAACAACATTGTAGCTCTGCATCTTTTCACGCATCTGTTTATTTTGTTAAGTTCGTAGATAGTACATTGGTCATTGATCGTGTGTGTAGTGTTCCTCTGTGTACGAGAGCTTGGTATATCAATTGATCGTGTGTTGCGGTCAGCACCGTGTCCAGTCGTGATTACTTCCCCTCTTTCAGTGTTTCTTCCTGACTATTTTCGTGTGGAGGGGGAGGGGGTTTCACTTGAAATTATAGGGGGCGGACTCTGTTAGCAGTATGTATATTCTATATAAATTCCCATTTCGTTCGAGATGTCTATAAGAAACACTGTCCGCTTTTCCTTGGAACGACTGAAGTCTCAACCAGAGGAGAGAGCCAGAGCACCCAGTTTAAATCTTTCCGGTCGTTGATTTTGTAGACAGATACTCTACTTCACCCGTCCTTATTGACTTTCGGTCTGAAGTGGTACTTGTGTATTTAGACTCTCTAATGCCCTGATCTGGCACCATCGACCAGAACCTGGTGCTAACAGCCCTCCAACTCGTCAATCTGAATGTATAGATGTGCGGGGCTTCATTAATTTTCATTATGTTGGCGGGGTGTGTGTGTGGGGGTGGGGGAGAGTGTCGGTTAGGACGTGCTTGCTTATGTTCTTGGTTGTCTAAACCCCTTCCCCCTGGGTAAAGCATCAAACGTCGGACTTGAGTCTGGCTATTCCCGGGGTGTAGTTCTTGCAATACCCCTCCCCTCACAGCGACCAACAGATCTTATGACACTGCCTATACCAGACGACTCTATATTTAACGCTGAATAAGTAAATGTAACGCTTTCAGTTTCGTGAAGTGTTTTGTTGAGCTTATTCTTAAGGCTGTTGAATTCTTTAGTCTCTGGAAATAAACCCGTCTAGCGGCTACATCTTAAAATGGGGTTTTCTGTTTAGTGTGGGGTTTTTTTTATCGAAATTTTTTTTTAGCTTAACACTACTGACATGTTTAGAGTAACAATGTAGCACATAGTGTGGACCTTTTGCATAGGCCTATGTTTTTTTAGGATAACAGTGTACCGCAATGTGCGCTATAATATAGGAAGGTGTTGTTTTCTAATATAACAACGTACGTTAAACTGCGCGTTTTTTGTACGATTGCGTTGTTTTCTAGAACAACAACGTACTTCAAAGTGTGCGTTATTTGTATGAATGTTTTGTTTTCTAGAACAACAACGTACGTCAAAGTGTGCGTTATTTGTATGAATGTTTTGTTTTCTAGATCAACAACGTCCGTCAAAGTGAGCGTTATTTGTATGATTGCGTTGTTTTCTAGAATAACAACGTAGCTAAAATTGCGCGTTATTTGTATGAATGTGTATCACGTGTTAAGTCTGGTGTCTTCAGTAGCTCTACTGTTGAAGCTGATCAATGCCACACAATCATATAATAATTTAAAATGCCAGAAACAATGTGCACGCTGTGTTGATCCTGTACTGGTGTGTTGAATAATAGATCACATGCGTATCCATTACTTGTTTGTTAACATTGATTATATTGGCGCAATTTTTCGCGCCATTTGTTGCACGCGCTGATTTTTTCTGTTGGTGTGGTCACGTTTGGTGTTGCATTGGGGGCTGTTATTGTCACGTTTGGTGTTGCATTGGGGGCCTTTGTGATGCTGGCGTGGTCACGTTCCCAGGAACTGTAGCTTGCGGCCAGTGGTCAATAGAATCGGTGCTTTCTGGCGTTCTCAATGACAAATTTAGCATATGCTAGAGATAGATATAAACATGCAAAGATAGTCTTTTATCGTAGAATAAAAATGTATCTTTATGTTATTTATACTAGTTTATATGTTTTTCTCCAGAAAATTTTTTTTCCTGAAAATCTGGTCAAAATATTTGAGGTTCTAGACTCGAGTGAGCACTGAAATCCCTGTCTTGTGGTGCCACACAGGTGCAATACCCACGCCAGGTGCAAGTGGTACCACTGCTGTCGTCCGCTTTGGTTTAACCCGCTGAATGGATTAACATGCGGAGGAGTTTCTCCGGTGGTGGAAGTTTCTATCGCGGCACGATGACCCGCAACATCGGACAGCCCAATGACAATGGGGTGGAGCCCGCCCCTCACAAGCGCGAGGAGCGAGCCATGAGGGAGGCCTACAGGAAGGAGAGGAAGCTGGAGTCTTATCTGGCAGACGACGAGAACTTCCCGTCCTTTAGGATACAGCTCCAGAAAATGGGGCTACAACTGCGGGACATACCTGCCGATGGGTGAGTTTGAACTTTGATTATTTTTTATTACTTCATTCAGCATTGGGCTCAGTTTGAAGAAGCGAAATTTGCGAATGTTATTATACATGTCGTATCCCCATCCGTCCTACCGTGGTGTACTGGGCCGTAGTAGTACCTGGAAGAACTACTGTGGGCTGCCATGAAAGGCTCGGTAACGTTAGAACATTGAAGCCCCGTCCAAAGGCCTGTATCTGGTAATGCTGACAATGACACTGGACCTTAAGTTTAGATTTGGGGTAGATGTATAATGAATGAAATTATACTGTATTTAAAAAGTTAACAAAAAAGTATTGCTGAGTAAAATGCACCAATAAATCTTGAACATAAAAAAAAATAAGCTGTATTTTTATGAGCCATCTTTTAGCCATTCAATGTGCTGAATATCCAGTTTTTAACTGACCATGCCATTAGCGAATGCTCGTGTCGGGTGCGACTACGTCACTGTTGTCGTAACTATCTCCAGGTGGCGTTGGTGGCCCGACATTACACCTTGGTGTGCAAATATTATGGTTGCTCGCACCTTGTTGCCGTCTCCCTTGTATTTACAAGAACTAAAAATAGCCCCACTGAAGGGTGCATGTTTACTTTAATTTTCCGTAATCCTAGTCAACCGCGCGTTGACGGAAGTTTAAACATGTGATTTTACATGTTTAAACTTCCGGAAATGTAAATTAAGAACGTGTGATTTTCCTTTTATATCCGAGAGGCAGTATCCTTGTTTCTTCCCGAACTTAAAACCAAGGTCATGGTCGTGCATGGGTTAATAAGTTCTTACTTTGTGTCAGTGAATACGGTTTGTGTCCATGAATACAGATGTAGTAGGTTGTACGTTTGTGTCAATAAATACTGATGTAGATCTAGTAGATTCTCACTTTGTGTCAATGAATGCAGATGTAGTAGGTTTATACTTTGTATTAGTAAACACAGAAGTGGAGCGCCTCGGTGGTAATTGTGTGAAAATCTACGTGACTTGTGTCTGACATTGTAGTGTCGTAAACAGCTCACCATGGACCCACTTGGGGGAGTTACCGTAAACCAAGTCTGATGGAGAGGTGCGGCTATTTCACTATGCTCAACAAGGGTCCACATAACGATGAGGATGTGATAGTTCAGAAACGTTTGAAATCAGAGATCAGTTCCATGTTCGTTTACACTATAAACACATCTGTATAACATGCCATGATTGTTTTGTTACGAGAAAAGCTATGGTTTATGCAGGCGACACTTTTAGTAGTTGTTTTAACTTGAAAAGGGTTGAGTTATTATTGAACTTAATTGTTTTACCTCACATGATAGTGTTTAAAATATAAACACTGAGATTGATAAGTAGAGTAGAAAAGACATTTTTAAGTTTAAGAAGTGATACTCTCCCTTTAAACTGGGCTTACTGACACAATTATCGATCGCGGATCTGATCAGGAAATCGATGGTGATCGATTTTATCGGGTTAATCGCTGTGGTATCGGTCGTGTATTAATGACCTATGTGGATTGATTAGTGGCTATCGTGTGGAAACAAAGATCACAGTGTTTGTTTGGTCACAATCTGTTTCTTTGTTGTCAAAGATAATACATGCACACAAAGGGTCAGAAAAGTTTATGTATGTGTGTGTGTGTGATTATACATGTTACTTAATACAAGGGTGACCTCCATCTCTGTTATACTAACTTTTCTCATGGATTGTGATGAAGTGTGTTATTTCTTCTGGCCCATATCAAAACCGTACATAGCCCCCCCCCCCCCCCTCTAGTGCTAGCACGTTTGACTTGACCAAATCGAGCGCTTAGACTACCTTTGTATAATGGTCGAAGACTCCACCGGTCGGTCGCAGGTTAAGCGTAGATTTATGACACTTAACCATAGCGTAATGTCCTCGTTGAAAGCCCAGAGATGAAGCTGGATTAGAGATTTGTTGACTCCGCGAGATGGTTATCGTCAGGTCTGCTTGTTACCGGTTTTCGAGAAGGTGGTGTAGACATATTTTCCCGTCCGTGATGAAGGCACATCGGGCAGATGAAGTAGAGTTCATCGGTTTCAGTGACTTTGTCATATGAGGGATAGTGTGATCAGTTCTATGCCCAGCCGCCTTTGTTTCCCAAACATGTGTCAGTTACCCATCGGAGCTGGGCGGTCTCAGGGATCCCACAGACTTGAGCTACTTTGACTCATACAATCATATAAGAAATATGACTCTTTTAGAAAATTATGTGTTCAATAAATGCATTATTTATACATTCTTGCAACCTAAAAGCTAACGTACAAAATGATTCCCGCATCTATAAGATGTGTTTTTTGCTCATGTGGGCGGATTTAAAAAATAAAAACAACCGTTTAAAAGATTAACAAACGTCAGGGGAAAAAAAGAATTCCACTTAACACATTCTATTTTACTAGGTAATTAAAAGAAATCTTCATTAACAAAGCAAGATAATTTATATTTTCATATCTGGTGCAACATTTCTGTTATGTAAAAAATCCATTGGCATTGCCTCATTGTTACTGGAGTTGAAGCTTTAGCTAATTTTATTATATTGAATACCGAAAAAACATGAACTGCATAATTTTTCATGTGGTGATACCCCCTCACACTCTTCCCTTGATGCTGTTAGCACCGGCTTGTTAATCCTGCCCTGCCTTATACAGTACTGACTGTAATCAACTTCACAACGATTGTGTAGGAAGATGACTAGTACACGACAGACTAGATCCACGAAAAGCTTCACGACTCGTGTCTCTCCCGACCTATTGCAAATTGTCGTCTTCATTGTTTGGTACCTAAGTTGTAAACGACGGGTCGCTGGTGTAACTTGTAGGCTTTGGTGATGTTGATAGCGAGATCTAGGCTAGAGTTAACACCGTATTTCTTGTTGTGTTGTGTCGGTGTAGCGTGTCTTCGTTTCATCTTTGGTCGCTCACCAAGATGTTACAGGTAGCGCCGGGGATTGGCTACGTATTGCTAAAGATGTTGTGCGCCTACCTATGAAGATGTTACAGATAACACTAAGGGATTTACTACGATGCCCAAGAAGTTACGTATAGCACTTGAGATGTTACACAAACCACTACAGTTGTTACAGAAAGCATTAGAGATAGCTCTAGAATTTTAGACATCAATGATGGTATAAAGAGCAGCTAAGAAGTTACAGATACCACCAAAATAACCCACAGAGACTGCTAAACGAGGCTACAGATACCAGCAAGATATGTACCGATGTACAGATACCGCTACAACATGTTACATATACCACTGAAAGATTTTACAGATACAGCTAAAATACCAAAGAGACAACTAAGGCTGTCTGTTTACATAGCTAGACCTCGAGTCAGTGAGTATGGTCTATGTACACACACCATGGCTTCCAATACCCACCGCAAGCTTTATTGATTCCTCCAAGACAATTTTTATTCACCCCCCCCCCCCTCCTTTCTTGTTCAACTCTTTGAGAAATGGTTGAATGAATAGCGATCTATTGACAGGCACTAAGGCGCCCATGCAACCGGTTGGAGAGATGTTAAAAGCGACATAAATGGCTTGTTCGGATGCGTTCTACCGCGTCAGAGAAATGCCATTTCACAATGCGGTGCCCGCTTTTTCAATACATTCACTTGCCCTGGTTGGTCTTTGATGCTCGCATAATAAGGCGATGTTCCACGATCTTACCCGACCCTACACCACACACTGCCACTACCCTCACACTGACCTTACCGCACACGGCTCCTACCCCACACGGCCCTACCCCACACTTTTTCAAAAGAATTTATAAGAAGATTTGTCGCTTCGTCTGAGCGCGTCTGTGAAACAAAATATCAGGTATGTGAACCGTAGCCATAATTGCAGTTAGATCAGCTGCAGTGGTTCTCAATTCCAACACTACCGTAAAAGTTAAATTGAATCTTAATTAGCTACATTAGCGTTACTTACTTATTTGGAAATTTGTTGTTGTAGATAAGGATCCGTCGAACAAGGTCTGTGATTAGGATTAGGGTTATCTTTGAGTTTGGGATCTGAGCTGTTTCGTAGATAAGGATATTTTAAATCATAATACTGTTTTATAATTTGGGTATAAGTTTAGGACTATGTTAGGAAAGCGTCTAGGTTTATTAATAGCACATAGATTCAGATATCCTTACGGTCATACGAGCTGTAGCAAACAACTTAATCCCCTTGTACCGACTTGTCCACTGCCTATACACAGTACAGCTCAAATTGGCAGTAAAACATTGACATGCATGACAGCCATCCGTCACCTGTGTGACACTGTCTCACACTGTATTTTATTAATTGCTGCTTTATTTACAACATTCTCCTTAATGGAAACTTTTGTTCAATGCCGGTGGGGGGGGGGGGGGGGGAATAATTGTAGAAGTTATTATTGAATTTCACGTCCTTGTAATGTCGTGTTTTAAAAAAAAAGTGTTCTCTATATCTGATCCCCTTTGTTCTTCGTCAAGTTCCTAACACTAATTCTTGGAGCTAAAGTCTCAGAAATATTGTCAAGCTTCTGACTTCAGATCTGGTAGCTAAAGACCCAGTCATTTTCTACAGACTGTGACATTTGATGACATTAGTACCAGCTAACGAAGTTATTGAGGGAACCCAAATATGAGTATTTTTGCTCTGGTGAACAGCTAAGATCGCACTTCATCAGTTGTGTTTCTTGTTGTTATTTGTGAAGTTTACGTTTTATTTGAACCTTAAGGTCTTCAATTTATGCAGAAGTGGAGGGGGGAGGGGGATTGTCGATCCAGGGTAATAGTTTTATTTTTCAGTAGTTGTATGTTCACTCCCAGGTATAAGAAAGAACATTTTAAAAATTTGAAATGAAAAACAAACGACATAATAGGAGAAATGTAAACATGAGAAGCACGGAGCATAAGGAGTGGGTGACGTTTAGGCGAGCTGGCTTTAGCCTAAAGGGGCTCTCTATACAATTCACATCCAGTGCTGATTCCACTTTATTAATAGACTAGTCTGACAA